TTATTCATTTAAAAATATTCTTTCTTTGTCATTTTCCCCCATTGAGGTGGGTTGCCATCTTGTTACAGTGAGTCAATAAATTAAGTAGTTAAAGGAGACCAAAGTGATTTTCAAAGTAGCTGCCTTGGGAGCAGGCAGCAGGCTGGATAGAGGTGGGTGTCAGGAAAAGCTTCACTTAAGGACTTGTGCAGGGAGCACCCAGATGGTTAATTTGACTGTTAATTTTAACAACATGTTAACAATATCTGTGATGACAAGGCCACAGCCACAGCCAAAGCCACAGCCACAGCCATGGCAGGACAGAGCAATGATTTTTACTATTTTAATGTATTTTTATTGATTTCAGAGAGGAATGGAGTGAGAGAGAGAAAGAGATAAAAGCATCAATGATGAGAGAGAATCATGGATTGGCTGCTTCCTGCATGTCCCCCACTGGGGATTGAGCTTGCAACCTAGGCATATGCCCTCACCCCACATTGCTATGTCTTCCTGGTTCATAAATTGAGGCTCAAACACTGAACTATGCTCAAAGTACCAGAGCAGCAATTTTAGAGCAAGAGTGGTGATTTCGGGACAAGAATTTTATTTCTGGTCAGGGCACATACCCCGGATGTGGGTTATATACCTGGTTACGGTGAATTCGGGAGGCAACCTATCAATGTTTCTCTCTCATATAGATGTTTCTCTCTCTCTCTGTCTCCCCCTCTCCCTCCCTCTCTCTCTCTTTTTTCTCTCTTTCTCTCTCTCAAATCAATAAACATACTCTTGAGTGAGGATTTAAAAAAAGATAGTAGTGGCCAAGGTATTCTTATATTAAAATAAGAAAACAACCCTGGCTGTTCTGGCGCAGTGGTTACAGCATCAGCCATTGATTTTTTTAGAGAGAGTTGGAGGCAGGGGGAGAGACAGAGAGAAACATCAATGTGAGAGAGATACATCTGTTGGTTGTCTCCTGCAGGGGAACCAAACAAGGCCCGGGATCCAGCCTGCAACCAAGGCACAGGCCCTTGACCTGAATGGAACCAGAGACACTTCAGTCGACAGTCCTACACTCAAGCCACAGAGCCTCACCAGCTAGAGATAAAAATAAAAGTTCCTGATGGCCAGAAATGTAGATATAAAGGAAGCCGGTGAGGGTTGCTTTGTTGTAAAATTGGCGCCTTAATAAGATTATGTTGCTAGAGGTATATTTAGGGAGATTAGCAAAGGTGTTAAATTAATCCTTTTCCCCTTAGAAAAAAGCAGGTCTTTGAAGACCTCTCAAATCTGATCACCTGGAATAAATGGGTGTGGTCTTCAGGGACTCAATATAAGGAGCCAAACTCACTCTTTCCAGAACACAGGGAGTGTGCTTGGAGCTTACCTGGTTGGGGAGACTTCTGAAAGCTACTGCCACCACGCTTGGAAGGCTTGATCCCTGAGCTGACCTCTTTGTATTAATACTTCTCGAGCAAGCATTGGTGAGTTTTCATTCGCCAGGAAACTGAGGTTGTTTTTATATCACATTGATTCCATTATTGTTTTGTTTGGTATGTGTTTTATAATTAATATGATAGCTAATTTTACTTCTATTTTATATAATCATTAGTTGTTCCTAGGAATCAGAAAATGGTGACCAGATATCTTGTAATTTTCTACATGGTTGTGTATTCTAAAAAAATTTTTTAAGAGTATTTGATTCTATATGTAGTAAACATTACAGCCTGCTCAGTAGGGGGTGTGCAGGAGGCAGCCAATAGATCTTTCTCTCTCTCTCCCCTTAGGCCTTTCTCTCTCTAAAAATATGAAAACATCTTTTTTTTTAAAAAAAAAAAAGGAAATGTTGGGATAGCTTCTCCCCAAATTTCATTCCTTTTTTTTTAATTTTTCATATGAAAACATGAAGATATGGCATATCAAGAAAAATATAGTTAGTCCTTCTTCTTTATTTTCAGATTCTGTATTTGCAAATTTGCATATGCACTAAATTATTTGTAATTCTAAAAGTAATACTCATGGTGTTTTCCTAGCCATTCTTGGAGGTGCACTGAGAAGGAGAAATTTGACTCCTGCCAGTTGAATATTCCAAGCAGAGTTTGAATCAGGAGAAGCTCAAACAGTAAGTGCCTTTTCCATGGTATATTATGCCAGGCTTTTGGCATTTTGGTACCACTTGTTGGTGACATCACTGTTTAAAATAGCCCCCAGCCTTAGTGCCCTATGCCTTATGGAGATAATGTATCTATCAGATAAGCTTCCTTAGGGAATGAGCTCTAGCACTGTAGGCCATGAATTCAATGTTAATAAATAAACAATATACATTAACTAAGATGTCTTTAAATAGAAACACACATAAAAGAAGCTCATGTTCTAACTGATGGATGGGCATGCTATGATCAGAGGCTGGAAGGAATCTAACTCTGCATTTAAGCCAGGAATAATGCTTCAGTACTTGCTAGTGGAGTGTTTGTGCCACTTTATAGAACATGAAGGGAACTTACTATAAGCTTGTAATATCTGTCATTTAAATCACAAAGTAATTTGTTTTTATTTTTATTTTTATTTTTTTTCAGGTGATCATCATAGCCAGGTTCTGTGTTTTTATTACAAAGGGTATTACATATGTGTCCTTTTTTTCCCCGCCCTTGACAATACCCCGGCTTCCCCTACCCCCCCAGTGTCTTATGTCCATTGGTTTTGCTTATATGCATGCATACAAGTCCTTCGGTTGATCTCTTACTCCCCTCCCTTCTGCCCCCCAACCCTCTCTGGCCTTCCCACTGCAGTTTGACAATCAGTTTGAGGCAGCTCTGCCTCTGTATCTATTATTGTTCAAAAGTTTGTAATGGTCTTTATTATCCATGAATGAGTGAGATCATGTGGTATTTTTCCTTCATTGACTGGCTTATTTCACTTAGCATAATGCTCTCCAGTTCCATCCATGCTGTTGCAAATGGTAAGAGTTCCTTCTTTTTTACAGCAGCATAGTATTCCATCGTGTAGATGTACCACAGTTTTCTAATCCATTCATCTACTGATGGGCACTTAGGCTGTTTCCAGATCTTAGCTATGGTGAATTGTGCTGCTATGAACATATGGGTGCACATATCCTTTCTGATTGGTGTTTCTGGTTTCTTGGGATATATTCCTAGAAGTGGGATCACAGGGTCAAATGGGAGTTCCATTTCCAGCTTTTTGAGGAAACTCCATACTGTCTTCCATAGTGGCTGCACCAGTCTGCATTCCCACCAGCAGTGCACAAGTGTTCCTTTTTCTCCACATCCTCTCCAGCACTTGTCGTTTGTTGATTTGTTGATGATAGCCATTCTGACAGGTGTGAGATGGTACCTCATTGTTGTTTTGATTTGCATCTCTCGGATGATTAGTGACTTTGAGCATGTTTTCATATGTCTCTTGGCTTTCTGAATGTCCTCTTTTGAAAGGTGTCTATTTAGATCCTTTGCCCATTTTTTGATTGGATTGTTTATCTTCTTTTTGTTAAGTTGTATGAGTTCCCTATAAATTTTGGAGATTAGGCCCTTATCAGATATGACGTTGGCAAATATGTTTTCCCACGCAGTGGGTTTTCTTGTTGTTTTGTTGATGGTTTCTTTTGCTGTGCAGAAGCTTTTTATTTTGATGTAGTCCCGTTTGTTCATTTTCTCTTTAGTTTCAAGTGCCCTAGGAGCTGTATCAGTGAAGAAATTGCTTTGGCATATGTCTGAGATTTTGTTGCCTTTGGATTCTTCTAGAATTTTTATGGTTTCCTGTCGTACATTTAAGTCCTTTATCCATTTTGAGTTTATTCTTGTGTATGGTGTAAGTTGGTGGTCTAGTTTCATTTTCTTGCATATATCTGTCCAATTTTCCCAACACCATTTATTGAAGAGACTATCTTGGCTCCAAGTAATTTGTTTTTAGAATGCAATGAAGATTCTATACTTACAGATAATAAAAGTAATAGGTTACCCAATAGAAATATGATCAATTTTATGAAGAGCTTATTTCTGGCAAAGAAAATTAAAGAGCAAAGAAACAGGAAAAGATGCAACTCTAATTACCAATGGGGAGAAAGTAATTCTATTCACAAGAATTAATTTTTACACATGATATTGACAAAATTTTTGTAAATATGATAATAGTCCCCAAGTACTGGATAATTTGTGACCTCTTTTAAGTGGTGGAAAGGGAAAGTAATTGGATTTTTTAGGGAGTGTTCCCTGTGGGTCTACTCCAGGGACTATACTGCAGTGTGAATACATTAGATTACAGGGGTGAGGAACCTTTTTCTGCCAAGGCCATTTGGATATTTATACCATCATTTGAGGGCCATACAAAATGAAATAAAATTATTACCAATTAGGCTTCTGCATTTGGTCAAACATTTAACTTACCCCTATGCCTTGGGAGGGCCAGACCAAATGATTTTGGGGACCTTATATGGACCTCAGGCAGGACTTCCCCACCTGTGGATTAGAGGATCCATTTAAGAAATGCCTGGCACTCACACAAAACTCAAATATTATTAAATGAATCTTAGGTAATTGTTGAGCATCTGTCTACTATGATAGTATTTATGTTTTATTTATTTTATTTTTATTTCAGAGAGGAAGAGAGACATAGAAATATCAATGAAGAGAGAGAAACAGTGAATTGCTGCCTCCTGAAAACCCCGCACTGGGGATCAAGACTGTAATGCGGCCATATTCTCTGACCTGGAGTGGAACCGAGACCTCCTGTTTCATAGGTTGACACTCAACCACTGAGCCACACAAGCCAAGCAGCATTTATGTTTTAGATGCAGCATTCAGACAGTTGTTTTTAGAAACAAAGCCTGGATGTTGTAGAGAGTATGCAGTGAATGCAGAAGGACAGGCACCAGCAGCTGTAGGCACCACTCAGAGATTTCCTGTTAGACAAGACAACATTCATCTTCCCACTACTGACTTAACTTGGGTGAAAAGATAACAGAAACCATCGTCCTCTGACGTTGGAAATCTCGTTTAACCTTCAAACTTGCAATGTCAAGGGCTCCCAGTCCTCCAACTCTGGCAGAAATGTCGAGAGGCCCTGTAGCTGAGAGCTGGTGCCACACTGAGATCAAGGTAGTGAAATTCTCCCACATGTGGACCATCGGTAACTTTAGCTTTTGCCGGCAGGAAGTGGGTGAAGTCATTCAAAGTTCAACCTTTTCATCAGAAGCCAATGATGAACTGAAATGGTGTTTGAGAGTATACCCAAAAGGGGTAGGTGAAGAAAGCAAAGATTACCTGTCACTTTACCTGATACTGCTCAGCTGTCCAAAGAGTGAATTTTGGGCAAAATTCAAATTCTCCATCCTGAATTCCAAGGGAGAAGTAACCAAAGCAGTAAAGAGTCAGGGAGCATATAGCTTTGTACAAGGCAAAGACTGGGGATTCAAGAAATTCATCCGTAGAGATGTTCTTTTGGATGAAGACAACAGTCTTCTCCCTGATGACAAGCTGACCCTCCTCTGTGAGGTGAGTGTGGTGCAAGATTCC